TTTTGATGTTCACAAGATCATTTTGCAGTATAGCTGTTGTCCACGCAGGTTAATATGGACAAGAGTAGAGTTCATTTGTGTTGTGCTGTAGCAATTTTTCAGTGGCTTCATACTTCTGAGAAGTGACACATCCACTACTGTGCCTAGCATATTTGGCAGGGGGCTGCTTCTGTCACTCTCATGCTTGTCACCAATTCTTGGTTGAATTTTTTGCTTGTTACTAGTTCCTTCCACATAGCTGTTACTGCTAGGGAGTATAACAATCTACATGCAAAGTGACCAGTCATATTCTTCCCTGCAGAGGAGCCATTTTCTCCTGGGAGATGTGCATTCAGCTCTTCTGTCTTTGGACATCCCCCACATACTCTATGAATGATACCATCTCACTGAGGTCTCTCAGATTACAAATGTATCTCAGCACAGCCCCTTGTTCTGAACCTCTCCCTCTATCAGTGAGATGCTGTCAGCTGTCAGCTCCTTCAGTGCAACCCATCCTTTTCCTGACCTCATTTGTCATAAAAATGTAGGCCACTGTCCTGCAAATACAGCCCAGTGCCTGGGTTGAGGCATCATGGTCAGTATGCTAATGGGTCTGGCCCTGAGAGCTTGCAGGTTAAAGAAAATCTGACATGAAAAATAGCTCTGCTGGTGCTGAGTGTCTTCAGTGTTCTGATTTTTTTCTGTATGCTTCAATCCCCACCTCCTCTTCCTGTACACCTACCTTCAATTTCCTAGTGAAACTATCCCCATTTGCTCTTCTCTGTTCACCCCACACAAATGATTATATAGGATGTTGGTTTTCCAATCTATCCTTCAGCCCAGCTAAGCCCTACTTCCTTCAAAGCAGAGATAGCTTGTTCCTGAGCACTGAACTCACTCATCAGAACTAGTATATGAGAATATTACAGACTGCATAAGCTACAGATTGCCTCCTGCCAATGAAGCAATATATTAGCAAAATTTACTGTAAAAATAGAGCTACCTCAGGCCCTAAAGTTGTTTTTTTTGTTTGTTTAAATAGTTATATTGTTAAAGCAGAAGAATGATAAGGGACCTGTTACTTAAATGGCATCCTCTGCGTTTTTGTGCAGGTTTTAGGGCCAATAACGTGTGGGCTCTAATAACTCCTTTCCCAGTAAGGCAAATAAATAAGCTAGGTAAAAGAAACAGGCTGTACCTAGCATACTGAAGTCGCTAATTTCAACTGTTCTGGTCTTTTGAGCACATAAAAAAGGTGGGTTTTTTTTGTTCGGTTGTTTATTTTGTTATTTTGTTTGTGTTGTGTTTTTTTTGTTGTTTGTGTTGTTTTTTTATTTTTTCTCTTAAATCCTGCATAAACTTACATTTATGCAAAAGGCTGAAATGCCTGTGAAGAGAAGACTTCAGTCTCTTGAGTAAAATGTACATTAGTATATTCCATAAAAGGTTTAGTGGAATCCAGATCTTCTATTTTTTCAATTGTATAATACATGCATTAAAGTGAAGTGAGCCATATTTAAATATTGTGAAGACTTTGAGAGAAAGGTCAGAAAATATGAAACTGATGTTTTGTCACCCATCTATGACTGTTCTTCGTTCCTCACAAAGTCATAATGTGAGGATTCAGAGCCAGATGTTATAACTTTCAATTGCCATTGCCAGTTGAAGTTCCCAAGGTACTTTCAGGGCAGCATTGCCTTGTCATTCTCTAACATAGATTTAAGTCTGCTGCACATTGTTGGTTTATATTCTGTAAATTCAAGTTATAGGATTTATGGTTTTCTGCTTGTAAAAGGTAGCTGGATAATTATCTTTGGAAGTATAATTTTTTTTATTTTTTTTTTTTTGTAAGATCACTAAGTTAGGCCAAACTCACATCTTGTCATGCTGAAAGGCAATTAAAATCCCGATTTTGCATTGGTCATTATATCCATAACATGGAAGAACATGGAATTCTCTTGTTCTTCTTCAGCCCCCTCCCTTGGGGAATCTGCCATAGATTCTGTATCACCCGTGCACATGGCATCCTCTGATAGACTTAAAAATGACTGTGTCATCTGTTCCGTTTTACATGTTCAGCCTCTATTTAGCACAGTGGGGTTGTTAGCAAAGGGGAGACTTTCAGCTCAAGTGTAATATAAATAAAAGTAAATACTATATCACCTCTGCACAGCTAGATGCAGTGTACTTCATATAATTTAGATTTTCCATTGCAAAAGAGTTTGTCCTGAGAGCTACGGAGATGAAAAGAAACCCCAAACAAAATCAAACCTGTAGAGGGACCTGCAGATGAAAGATTAAGTTAAAAATGGAGATTTCATTTTCCATTTATTGTGGGTCATATGTTGTCTAGGTTTGAGGCCTTTGTTTCTCCTAGTACAGACAAGAAAACTAAGGGCACCAGACAAATTATCTTCAGGAATCTTCTGCATGAGTTCAATACAGGCTTTACATAAACACTGGCTGCTCCAGCATTATGGGTGCACAGGTCAGGTTAAAAGGAGCCTTGTGCTCTTTATGAAACTCCATGGTTTCACATCTAGAGTTTAGAGAAATCACTCTTCACAGTTTTCAAATTCAAGTCTGTAAGGCGTGTATAAAAAGGTGCTTTCTGTTTCCATTTCTCTTTGCTTTGATGAAAAGAAGCTGCCAATATCATATACAACATCCAGCAGAATACAGTGCCTTTGCAAATATTGTGTAGTTAAGGGTTAATTGCACTTTTCTTACATTACTTAATACCATGCTTTGGGGACTGGAAAAATTCCACTGGACATCAGTCATTGTCTAGTGTTGAATTTTCAATCCTGTGCTATTTAATCTGTCAGAAAATAAAATGATCCTTGTAATTTTCTTGTTATTCCATGACCTTTATAATGAAAATTACAAGGCTACTTATTACAGAGTAAATATAGTGCTCTTTGATAAGTATTTGTCCTGTAGAAGATGAAAAGGAGGAGGCTGATGGACATTTTCTTTGTTCTTCCTATTTCTGTGCTATTTCAATCTTTTTTGTTCCTTGGGTTCAACTTTCAGATAAAAGCTTTGATATGTTCATTTTCATGTGTTAGTTTCAGATTATCAGATTTTTGTCCATTTTGTTTTCTTCCTCATGCCTCACACCACAGAATAGCTCCAATATCCTTAACCCCTTAGAAACTAGGTAAGTCATTCTGCAGTCTTATCATAGAATCATAGGATTGTTAGGGTTGGAAAGGACCTTAAGATCATCTAGTTCCACCCCCCCTGCCATGGGCAGGGACACCTTACACAAAATCATATCACCCAAGGCTCTGTCCAACCTGGTCTTGAACACCGCCAGGGATGGAGCATTCACAACTTCCCTGGGCAACCCGTTCCAGTGCCTCACCACCCCAACAGTAAAGAACTTCTTCCTTATATCCAATATAAACTTCCCCTGTTTAAGTTTTAACCCATTACCCCTTGTCCTGTCACTACAGTCCCTAATGAAGAGTCCATCCCCATTATCCCTATAGGCTCCCTTCAGATACTGGAAAGCTGCTATGAGGTCTCCACGCAGCCTTCTCTTCTCCAGGCTCAACAGCCCCAACTTCCTCAGCCTGTCTTCATACAGGAGGTGCTCCAGTCCCCTGATCATCGTTGTGGCCCTCCTCTGGACTTGTTCCAACAGTTCCATGTCCTTTTTATGTTGAGGACACCAGAACTGCACACAATACTCCAGGTGAGGTCTCACGAGAGCAGAGTAGAGGGGCAGGATCACCTCCTTTGACCTGCTGGTCACGCTCCTTCTAATGCAGCCCAGGATACGGTTGGCTTTCTGGGCTGCAAGTGCACACTGAAGCCGGCTCATGTTCATTTTCTCATCGACCAAGTCCTTCTCCACAGGGCTGCTCTGAATCTTTTCTCTGCCCAACCTGTAGCTGTGCCTGGGGTTGCTCCGACCCAGGTGTAGGACCTTGCACTTGTCATGGTTAAACTTCATGAGGTTGGCATCAGCCCACCTCACAAGCGTGTCAAGGTCCCTCTGGATGGCATTCCTTCCCTCCAGCATATCAACCAAACCACACAGCTTGGTGTCATCGCCAATCTTGCTGAGGGCGCACTCAATCCCACTGTCCGTGTCAGCGACGAAGATGTTAAACAAGACCGGTCCCAACACCGATCCGTGAGGGACACCACTCGTTACTGGTCTCCAGCCGGACATTGAGCCATTGACCACAACTCTTTGTGTGCGGCCATCCAGGCAGTTCTTTATCCACCTAGTGGTCCATCCATCAAATTGATGTCTCTCCAATTTAGAGACAAGGATTTTGTGTGGGACAGTGTCGAACGCTTTGCACAAGTCCACATAGATGACATCAACTGCTCTACCCCTGTCCATCAGTTCCATAGCCCCATCATAGAAGGCCACCAAATTGGAGGCAGGATTTCCCCTTAGTGAAGCCATGCTGGCTCTCACCAAACTCCTTGTTGATTTTCATGTGCCTTAGCATGCCTTCCAGGAGAATCTGCTCCAAGATTTTGCCAGGCACAGAGGTGAGACTGACTGGTCTGTAATTCCCCGGGTCATCCATTTTCCCCTTCTTGAAAATGGGGGTTATATTTCCCTTTTTCCAGTCGTCGGGAACTTCACCTGACTGTCATGATTTTTCGAATATGATGGACAGTGGCTTAGGAACTTCATTTGCCAGCTCCTTCTGGACCCGTGGATGGATTTCATCAGGACCCATGGACTTGTGCACATTCAGGTTTTTAAGAAGGTCTCGACCCAGATCCGTTCCTGGAGTGGGCCCAAGGTCTTCATTCTCACAGTCCCTGCTTCTGCCTTCCAAGTCTTTGGTGGTTTTGTCAGAGCCTTTGCCCGTGAAGACCAAGGCAGAGAAGTCATTCAGAACCTCAGCCTTCTCCAAATCCAGCGTAGCCAGTTTTCCCAATAGCTTCTGGAGAGGGCCCACGTTGTCCCTAGTCTCTTTTATTTGCAGTGTACGTATAGAATCCCTTCCTGTTATCTTTCACATCTCTAGCCAATTAGGCCTTAGCTTTCCTAACCTGTTCCCTAGCTTCCCAGACAACATCTCTGTATTCTTCCCAGGCCGCCTGTCCTTGCTTCCACCTTTTATATGCCTCCTTTTCCTTCAAAGTTTCCTCAGCAGCTCCTTATTCATCCAAGGAGGTCCTTCTAGTTGGGATGCCACACTCCTGAGCTTGGAGCAGGTGATCCTTGAATATCAACAAACAGTCTTGGGCCCCCCTGCCCTCTAGGGCTATATCCCATGGAACCTTACCAAGCAGGCTCCTGAAGAGGCCAAAGTCTGCTCTCTTGAGGTCCAGGGCAGTGTGCTCGCTGCACGCTCTTCTCACTTCCTGAGGATCTCAAATTCGATCATCTCATGATTGCTGCAACCAAGGGTACCCTGGGGCGTCATATTTCCAACCAGACCTTCCCTGTTGGTGAGCACGAGGTCAAGCATGGCACCTCTTGTATAGTGACTTCTTTCTGGCAGGATGTGGTGAGCAAAGTGATCCTGGCAACAGTGCTATGCTGTGCTGTGCCAATGGGGCACAATGCGCAGGGGCAGCTGTAGCTCTGTTATCAGCAGGGAAGTTCCAGTGCTGAGGTGAGCTGAGGTGAGCTGAGGTGGAGCCTCAAGCCTTCCTACCTAACTGGAAGGCAAGTCAGGTCAATGGCCATGGCCCATTTTTGGCTGCAATGCATTGGTGCGAGTTTGGTGTAACAAAGTGATACAGTTTACAGAGCTCTCAGCATGACACAGCTAGTATTTTTGAACATGCTTTCCAGTAAGGCTTCTTAAGAAACAGAGGTGGCATCATTTGCAGTGTAGAAGGGCAAAGCAGGCAGTGCAGCACTGGTCTCTCATCTGCTGCCTCCTTTATTTGGTGTCCTGTTTGGATCATTCACTAAGAATATCACCTGAGCACTAAGTGGAAGTCAAAAGGGCAATTAAGATCTTAGAAACTCTGAGGAATGACAAAATGTTATTTATCTATCTGGGTTAAATTGAGAGCACACCTTGCTCTCAAGTGCAGTTTTGGTTATTGCCTCTGAAAAACAAAGTGCTATTGTTTAAATATAGGGCAGCAAAGATAGCCGGAGGTATGCAACAGTTTGTATGTGAAGGGCTGCTTATTTTTCTGTTGTGACAAGAGATACTTGGATCAAGATGTGATAGGGTTTTCCAAAATCATGAGAGTAATATAAAAGATTAATTGGGGTTTACCCGTTCTTACTATGTGAGAAGTGGAGATAGCCATGCAACTATGTGGCAGCAGATATAAAGAAAATAGAGGAAGCTCACCCACTGCAAATTAAAATTGTGGCACTTATTGCTTAAGGATATTGTAGAGACCAAAACTATTCAGGGTTCCCAAAGTGACTAAATGAAGAATTCTGAAGAGTGGCAAGGGAAGAAAGTGGTCTGGTTTCATCCTCTATCACAGAATGTCCCAAAACTTCACTCTGAAGATAAGGATGGTATAGAGAGATACTTAACTCTTCTTTTTACTTGCGCATTTCTCATAGCATTTGTCAGAGATGGGATACTAAGAGGTGGACCTTTTGTAAGGTTCAGTGTTTTGTTTGTTTGTAGTACATACTTCTTGCTCCAGCTTCGCCAAACCCCAAATTATATTTTCTTTCCCAGAAGGGGGATGAGGAGGGAGAGGTAGAAGAAAGAAGCAGGCCTGAATGATTTCTGCGTTTGTGCATTGTGGTTCTCAGTGTGTCATCTGTGTCACAAGCGCATGTTATGTCCAGCCAGTATTGTGGAGAGCACAATTCCACCCAGTCCTTTTTTGCACTTGCTGACCTCTCAAAGATTATATTCCCATCTTTTTTCTAGCAGACAGTATTGCAAAGAGCAGTGTTTCTACAATATTGTCAAAGCCATTATTTTGTGGCCAATAGAGATGGATTACTGAGACCTAATTTGGAAGATAGTTAGCTTTTCAACTGTTTGGAGGGAGGATTAGCTCAGCTGAGGAAAAAAATACAGGCAATTATTTCTAGCACTGGGTTTCTTCTTTATCTAGTCTGCAATTTTCTGAAATACTGCTGTGTCTTTTATCAAGAAATAGAGGCTAGCTGGCTTGAAAAATCTAAGATAGAGTCTCTGAAGCAGGAGTGATTGGTTGTAGTAGACTGGGACAAATTAGAATGGTGCTCAGCAGAATTATTTACTGTACTGTCCACATGCCACTCATTTCAGCCACTTCCATCATGTTTTTCTTTGTCTCTATTTATTTATTTATCTATTTAATATTGAAATAGTCATTGAAATTAGCTTATTTTCCTACATGAAACTCTCCTGAACAACAAAGACACAAAGCATTAGCCTGAAACCTGAAAATGTCTCGTCTGCTTACATTATGCACAGCCTGTCTTTAAATGTTAGCATTAACCTTCAGTTCAGCTTGATCTGTAGAGACAAGACTGGAAAAAAGCAAAGTGACACTGTGTATTTTTTTATTGCAAATATTTATGTCTGTTTTGAGATCATATTTTCCAGGTACAGAAAAAAGTTAGGAAACTATTATTAGAATTGTTGGAGATTCAGTTGATTAAGCACCTGTCACCCAAATCAGGTTTATATCACAGGTTTTCTAATTCAATGGCCGTTGCACAAAAAAATATCATTGTGCCTTTCAGTTGTTTGCTACCTTGTTTGTTGTTGTCCCAGTGAAGGAGGATATATTCCTAATGTTCTCAAGTGTGCTGTGTTCCCGCAACACACTCTCCATCAAATTCCAAAAGTAACAAAAAAATAAAAACAAATAATGCTCCACAACCTTCAAAGGGGTGCAGTAAAGACATAGAGAGAGAGGGGGAAAGAGAGAGAGAGAGAAAGGAGACGTGCATGCACATACCAAGGAATTGTTGCAGCAAAGTTAACTTTTGCATTCAATGCTACAGACTGCTTGAGGGCATCTGCACTGTTGACTCTTTAATAATGTGTGCAACAAGTGTGAGCAGAATTAAAATGATAAAATGGATGAAAACCCCATGAATGTAGCATACATACTTCTTGGCATAACCAGTAAAGCAGGGAAAAGCTCTCTAAATGGAAAGCCACAGTTAGCTGTGGAAGCAGAGATAGGAAAATGACCAGTGACAGCAATCTGTAGCCAAACATCAAAAATCCTGCTTCGCTCTTTTTTTTCTCTTCCCCTGTTTCCTTCAATAGACATCCATCAAACTGCAATAGGATTTCTGCAGGCCAGTTTATGTCTTGTACATTGACAAGAGAGGGGAGAATCACTTTGCCTGGAATCCTGCTAAATTACATGGACACAGGATTTATGCTATATGTGAACTCTGTAAATCCAGTCAGCTTTTAAGTGGGAACCAATTTTTTAGTGTGTAAGTATCATTGATTTGTTAACCTGACTTTTTTTTAAAACAAGATGATGTGGATTACCCAGTTCTGATTGTGTGTCTCCTACAAGTCATTTGACTGCTGGATACCTTAGTGAGTAAAGGACTAGAAATTAACCTTTGAGGCCCTTGCCTATAAATAAATTATTGATCCTTAAAAAAGAATCAGATAATTTCATTAGAGGCAGTTTTCTGTAGCATGTGTCCAAATCCTTCTATACAGAATCATTTATCATAATTGATGATCTTTTTCCTGAAGCTGGCAGGAGCTAAGCTACAGTCCTACAGGAACTGGTGCAGAAGCACAGTATGAAAAATTTCCAACCCATTTAATGCTTAAGGGATGTTTTGTTTGCTCTCCAAATAATTCTAGGGGCTTTTAGCTTTTATGTATACTTTTATAGCTGTATATCAAATAATTCTTAGTCAGGAAAAAATGTACCTCTGAAATTTCATGCACGATGGTATTCTGGAGCCATACAGAAGTAGAAGGAATGAATTTCTGATGCATGACCTAACAGACACAAGTGGAAAATACATAGCAAGCAATGTAATTTTGAAAGGCAAAAGTGATACAGAGTTCAGTACTTAACATATAAATGGCTGCTCAGAAGTACTCTACAGAAAAAATAGTTAACATGGTGTCAGAAGGTAAGCATACAGGTGATGAGACCTAGTGTTATTTTTTACAACTGCAACGCGGTGATCTACTTGAAATGAAGCAAAGTCAAGTGATCATTTTAATGACATGAGAAAAAAAAATTGCTGAACTGTATGGTTAGTTTCAATAACTTGACTTTCCATTTTGCAAAAGGAAAGAAAAAGCAGAGTACACTTATGCCTGAGCTCTGTTTCTCTGTTGCCAGGCAAGGAGTAGACTGCATGTGTGGGAGGGAGAAGGGATGTCTGGGGGACACCAGATCTGAGTGGGCTTATCAGCCTGCTTAAGTCTTAGCATTGAGGTCAGAGGTGTTCCAGTCCTGATTTCTAGTGTCTGCATCAGCATTCATAGTGCCAAGCTATGCTATGTGACTCTAGGATCCCACTAGATACAAATTTTCAGAAAGACTTTTTTTTCTTTTTTCCTGATTCGAAATCATTGATACAGCAGTACCTAAGGTGGGAAAAAAACCAAATATGTGCACCCAGCATCCACCAGTCCTCTGCAGTCAAACTCTGTATCCTGTGGGGTTTCATATATGCAGTTAATAAGGCTGGAGATCTGCTCCTCTACCTGTCTATGCTGGCTTCAGGCTCACAGCTTAGATACTCTACACTGTTGAAAGAATACAAAAAAAAGGGTAGCTGAGGGAAAAAATAGACATGCTTTAGACATGGGAAGAAATTCAAATATTAGAAGAATAGTGTCACATAGACCATCTAATTTAATGAAGATATATTGGGCTTGTGATAATGGAATTATTGTGTAAATGTTAGACAAGACCAACTAATTACAAGGCATAACATATCTCTGTATAAGGTGGTAAAGATAGACGATGTATGCTGTTGCTCTGGATTAACTCAGAAATTATTTGTGGCTGTGTAAGTAAAGACTAGAAGGAATATCCTCTAGCGTGGTGCAGCAGCTGCTCTGTACTAAATTGCTAGCGTTATCTCATGAAATTGTTTGCACTAATTCACTTCAGTGTCCTGATGAGTCTGATGGCATAATGCTGAGCTGTGGGGGCTCTCTCCTGCCCTGTACATAGTAAAACATTTTC